TCCGGGGGTCAACATCCCCGCAGCCCTGTCTGTGACCAGGCCTCCTGGTGGATCAGAGCCTGATCAACCAGGCTGTTACTGCTGGCTGCACACAAACCAACGTATGAGCCACAGCCCGGCTGGTCAGGAACCGACTTTAGGTGCTTGTCCAGTGCCAGCTTGAAGACTGCCAGGGGTCTGTTGGTAATCCCCCTTATGTATGCTGGGAGGCAGTTGAACAGTCTCGGGCCCCTGACACTTATTGTATGGTCTCGATTTAACGTGCTAGTGACACCCCTGCTTTTCATTGGGGGAATGTTGCATCGTCTGCCAAGTCTTTTGCTTTCGTAGTGAGTGATTTTCGTGTGCAAGTTCGGTACTAGTGGTTAGCTCTTCATCGTCATCCTCCACCAACGCTTCCACATCCTCGCCACTAACCTCCAATCACATGGACTTCCCCGATGCCACAATAGATTCCACAACTGGCATAGTCACCTGAGGGTTAACCCCAAACCTTTCAAAATCCCTCTCTTGTACACATTGTGGCCACAATTTTCTCCAAGCAGAGTTCAAAGTCATGCAAGTCACTCCCTCCCAAGCCTTACCTATAATGTTTATGCAACTGAGGATACTGAAGTCATCTTTCCGGAACTCTCTTATGGTTAATTCAGTGTCTAAGGTCACTTCAAAGAACTTGAAACACTGCTTTGGTGTACAGTTTTTTGAAGTTTGAAATGACCTGCTGGTCCATGGGCTGGAGGAAAGGAGTGGTATTAGGAGGCAAACACTTGACTTTAACCCCTTGAGTATTGAAACCCCAAATCCTGAGGTGTCTCCTGGTGTCGAAAAATTTTTGAAAAAAAAAAAAAAAAAAAATTCTTATGAAATGATAGAGAATCTTTTCCCGATGTTAATGACCCAAAAAGAACGAAATTTGATGGAAAACTTACGGAATTACGCTCTCGCGAAGTTAGCAACCTCGGCGATTTTTGCCCACTTTGAGCCCTATTTTCGGCTAATTCCATTGTTCCAGTCGACCAAACTTATAGCTATTTCTTTAAAATTCCATTTGTTCTATCGATTGAGTACAAGAAACTGCTCATTTACCAGTTTCAACTACCCAATAACGTGGTCTGAAATTTGCAATTTGGCCAATTTCACGCAAATTAAAAAATATGCCAATTTCAAAATAGGGTCCAGAATGAACAATGCAGACATTCCTGGCTCTAAAATAACATTTTCCTTGTTCATCAGTCACGTCTCCAGGCCCCTCTGATATTACTCTTGCTTTCTATTTTGAATTTTTATTCAAACAAAAAATAGAAGATTTACTGTTATGCAGACTACTGCAATATTGTAATAATTGTATAAATAATGTCAACCCATTTCTGACTGTATATTAGAATGGCTAGTTGGACATTTATTGGACAATGACATCATTTGTTTACTTTTGAACATCGGCAAAAATCAAACATTTCCCCTACTTTGAGCTCCATTTCAAGGTTCTTTTCATAGTGAAACCAATCAAAATCACCTGTATTTCTATAATATGTTTTCCATTCTATCAAATGAGACCAAGAAAACGAGAATAGAACCATAAATACTATATGAAAATACACCACAAAGTTGGCGTTTTAATCCAAAAAAACAGTCTGAGTTTTTTTTTTTCATTATGCACTGCGTGCTGCAGGATTTTTTTATATGGTGCACACTGACCACACAGCCCCATTCTCTCACATGTGGGCCTACCAGCTTTCTCCTGCTTAATTTGAAGCCGCTAGAATTTTTGAGTATATATACGCCAAACACGGTGACTCGTAAGACGTATATATACGACCAAAACAGTCAAACAGTTAATAAAACTAAACTCCCCCACAATTTGCTCTTCCAATTCTTGAGGATGAACAGGAGCATTGCCCATTACCAGGAAGCACTTGAGTGGCAATTTATTTTCCAGGAGGTATTTTTTCACACTGGGGCCAAACATGTCATAGAACCATTCGAGGAAAATGCCCCTAGTGAACCATGCCTTACTGTTTGCTCTCCACATCATACGCAATTTAGTCTTGACAACATTGTTTTTCTTGAACACACTGGGAGTTTCAGAGTGCTACACGAGTAAAGGCTTCACTTTGCAATCCCCAGTAGCATTACTACAAAACATGTGAGTTAGCTTGTCTTTCATAGACTTGTGTCCTGGGAGTGCCTTTTCTTCCTGAGTAATGTAGGTCCTGTTTGGCATTTTCTTCCAAAACATGCCTGTTTTGTCACAATTGAACACTTGTTGGGGTTTTAATTTTTCAGTGTCTATGTACTCCTTAAAGTCCTGCACATATTTTTCAGCCGCTTTTTTGTCAGAACTGGCAGCCTCACCATGCCTTATCACACTGTGTATGCCACTACAATTCTTAAATCTCTCAAACCAGCCTTTGCTGTCCTTAAATTCATCAATAGCAGCACTATTTGGAGGCATTTTCTTAATGAGATCTGCATGCAACTGCCTTGCCTTTTCAAATATTATTGACTGAGAAATACTATCACCTGATAATTGTTTCTCATTTATCCACACCAACAACAGTCTCTCCACATCGAGTATTTGTGATCTCTGTTTTGTAAGCATACTTGCACCTTTCACAACAACAGCTTCCTTGATTGCCTTTTTGTTGGCCAAGATAGTAGTGATGGTTGAATAGGGTTTGTTATATAACCTTTCCAACTCCGAGATATGCACTCCACTCTCGTACTTTCTGATTATCTCTTTCTCTAATTCGATAGTACACCTCACGCTTTTTTCCACAGGGTTGGCACTAGACGCTTTCTTAGGGCCCATGGTGGCTTATTTAGCAGTTACAAGCACTAAAAACAATGGAATAATACAAAATATATCGCATGTACTCGTGGAATCGTCCTCACTGGCTTTGTAAACAGTGGCACACTGGCTGTACACGGAGTGATGGATTGGCCGGGCCCGCTCAGGCCACGCAGACATGTTCGGGATGAAAGCCCTTAACCGAGTTATTTGGCATTAGCCAAGCCAATGTTTTTACACCCAAGTGAGTCGTTAGCCGATTTTGGCGCTAACCGATGAAGCCTTTACCCGAGGGTCCACTGTATGTTGCTAAGTAAGGAGAGGCTGTATTACACAAATTTAAGCTTTTGAAAATGGGGTGGTATGTTTTCCTTGGAAACTAAATGAATGATAATTCCAAAAGTAGATTTCTTCTCTCTAACCCTTTCAGGGTTTCTGACATACTAGTATGGCTTACGCACCAGGGTTATTGACGTACTAGTACGCCTAAATTCTAGCGCCTTCAGATATAGTAGGCCTACATATGAAATATGTGTGCAAGTGGTCAGTATGCACAGTATAAAAAAATCATGCAGCACACAGTGCATAATGAGAAAAAAAAAAAACTCCGACCGTGTTGTTAGTTTAAAACAGCGACTTTGCAGTGTATTTTCATAGGGTATTTATGGTTGTATTTTAGTTTTCTTGATCTCATTTTATAAACTGGAAGACATATTACAGAAATTGAGATGATTTTGATTGGTTTCAAAATGAAAAGTACCTTGAAATTGAGCTCAAAGTAGCAGAAGTGTTCGATTTTTACCAAAGTTCAAAAGTAAACAAATCATGCCAGACGTCCAATACACGTTAATTGGTGAGTCTAATATTTTTTCACAAGTGTGCTGATATTATTTATGCCATTTCTACACTAATGCAGTAGTCTGCATAACAGTAAATCTATTTTTTGTGAGAATAAAAATTCAAAGTGGAAAGCAAAAGAGATGTAAGAGGGGCCTGGGGACATGACTAATGGATAGAGGAAATGTTATTTTAGTGCCAGGAATGTCTGTCTTGTTTATTCTGGACCCTATTTGGAAATTGGCATCTTCTGAAATTTGCGTGAAATTGGCAAAATTGCCAATTTCTGACCACTTTATTAGATAGTTGAAATCGGTAAATGGGTGGTTTCTTGTACTCATTCGATAGAAAAAATGGAGTTCTAGCGAAATAGATATGATTTTTGTCGACTGGTACACTGGAATTGGCCGAAAATAGGGCTCAAAGTGAGCAAAATCGCCAGTAAACATCGTAGAGACCGCTAACTTCGCGAGAGCATAATTCCATAAGTTTTCCATCAAATTTCATACTTTTGGTGTCATTATGATCGGGAAAAGATTCTATCATTTCATTAGAAAAAATTTTTTTTTTTTCTGAAAAGTTTTTGACCCTGAGAATGAGTTTAGGAGAGGACCTCTTGACCCTGAAAGTGTTAAAAGTGGGTTTCAGATTATTTGCTGTTGTTAATCCCCATGCACAAATACCATAGATGAAGTAGAGATAGATTAGGGAATGGTAGGTTAAATAGGGATGTTTCGAGTACACAGTAGTGAATTTTTAAGATAATGTCCACTGCTTTGGAAATTGCATTAGAAATATTCTGGATGTGTGTGTTGCATTTTAGTTTGCTGTGCAGGTGTCCTCTCAAAAATTTACCCTCATCCTGCCGTTTGGTTGGTGAATTTTTTTTTTTAGTTCAAATGAATATTTTAAGTTTTGTTTGTGGTGGGAAGTACAGTGCCTGCACTCTGAGGAATAGGGCAGGGATGTTGCAGTCTAGAGCAGTGTTATTCACTAATTTTTGCAAGAGAGCCACTTCGGTTAAGCACATTGATTGAGAGAGCCGCAGCTACTGAAAGTTAGCGTAACTCAACTAAATTAAGTAGTACTGAGCTGCTAGTGCAATATAGTAAATGAGAAAAAGTAGACATGAGCCGTGAATTGAATCATCGCGAGCCGCCAGCTGCTCGCGAGCCGCACAATGAATACCACTGGTCTAGAGGATCATTTGAACTGTGAGGTCTTCAAACTCCTGGTAAAACAGCTGTTGAATGAATGATGGGAATGCATTTTCTTTTTTTGGGCCACCATACATTGGTTGGAGACAGCTGGTATTCACAAAAAAAAAAATGTATAAAATTGGTACAGTATAGCAATAAGTGGAAATATTTTTCAGCTTTGGATCTTCAACATTGTGGTATTGGTGCTGAGGGAGGACAGGTGCTGAGAAATGTTCTGAACGTGAATCAGACACTAGAGATCCTAGATTTAAGGCAAAATCCATTTATTCCTAACCATTTAGTGGAAGAAGTAAAAGAAGTTCTCCAGGAACGACAGGATGAATACGATGTTCAGGTCAGTTTGCACATTTGCTGAAATAATTATTAGAAATATGTAAGCCATTGGCCACATTATTGCAGGAAGTCATAATTGTATTTGAAATAAAGTCTAATAAGTGTAAACAGTTCTAAAAAATTATTGTGTTGCTATTATAATCTTTTAGGTGTAAGTATGAAATGCCTAGTATGGTCCATCCCTCAAAGGAGGTTCCTTGATCTAGAGGCTCTTGATCTTGATCTGTTTCCTTTCCATATATTGAACCTGCATACCTTCCATTCCCCAGGTACTGTATAGCCCCTACGGATTTTTAGCACCTCTCCATGAATGTAATAATAATAATAAAAATACATAATAATTTAATAATAAATAATTTGTATGATCCCTGGAGAGAAGCTGATGAGCTTTCGTTAGAAGTCTGTTATGCACTTTTTTTAATAGCCATCTCCTGCCAAGGCAGAGTGACCCATAGAAGAAAACTTTCACTATCATTTATTCAGTTGACATCTTTCTGGAAGTGTGCTGACATCACAATCAGATTATTCTCTGGCTTCAGCATCCCCTTCCCTCCTTCAGAGTGCAGTCACTGCCCTTCCCATCTCCAGGACTCACATGCAGCTTACTGGTTTCCTTGAATCTCTTCTTAAAAGTTACATGGTTCACACTCCAGTGGCATATCCACTAACAACCATTTGTCTTCATTCACTCCTGTGTAACATGCTCACAAGTAAATTATTATTAAAAAAAGAATGTAACAGAGTATAGTGAGACCAATACTTTTATATGGGTGTGAGGCATGGATTTTGAATGCTGCAATGTGGAGGCAGTTAAAGACAGTGGAGTTGTCATGTTTGAGAGCCATATACAGTGTGAATATTATGCAGATGATTCAGAGCTTAGAAATTAAAGGTGATGTGGGGTCACCAAGCATATAATTCAGAGGGCCGAGAAATGTTGTTGAAGTGGTTTGGGCCTGGAGAGGGATAAGTTTGATGTAGAGGGTGTATAAATCTGGACCAGAAGGTAGAATGAGTAGGGTTGTCCTAGGAACAGTTGGAGAGAGGGAGTTAAAGAAGCTTTAACTTTTAGGGGCTTGAGCATTCAGTAGGCTTATGTGAGCATGTTAGATAGGAGTGCATGGTGACAAGGGGTTATTAAATGCTGTAGTGAGTAGGGTAATTTTTATGAAGGGACTGAGGAAAACCAGTTAGCCAGATTTGAGTCCTACAGGTGAGAAGGGCAGTGCTTGCACTCTGAAGATTAGGTGGAGATGCTGCAGTCATAGGCAGCACATTTCTGGAAAGACAGTGATTGAATAAATGATGGTGAATGCATTTTCTTCTGCCCTGCCTTAGTAGGAGCCAGCCATTGAGGAAAAAAATAATAATCTAAGTACCTGGAGTCTACTAGGAGGGCATTCCAGGGGTCATCACCCTCTAGGTCTGATCCTGGCCTCCCGGTGGATCAGGGCCTTTTCATTTAGGCTGTTGCTGCTGGCTGCACATGGTGCATTGCACGAATCACAGACTTGCTGGTCAGGAACTAACTATAGGAACCTATCCAGTTCCCTCTTAAAGATAGCCAGGGATCTGTTGGTAATTTTTCCCAATGTATGATAGGAGTCTGTTGAACAGTCCTGGGATCCTGACACTTATTATGTTTTCACTGTGTACTAGGGACACCCCTGGTTTTCATTGGGAATATGCTGCATCATCTGCCGACCCTTTTTGCTTCATAGGGAGTGGTATCATTGTGCAGATTTGGGACCAGACTTCCTAGGATCTTATGGGTGTAAATTATGATGTATTTTTTTTTTTTTTTTTTTTTTGCCGAAGTTCCAAGGAGTACAGGTCACTGGACTTTCAACATTTCCAGTAATTAAGGTACTTGACTGAATTTATATGTGCAGTGAAGGTTCTCTGTACATTCTCCTGATATACAATTTTGCATGCCTTAACCCTTGCAGGGTCAAGACCCCTGATCTCTGACTTGCTCTCAGGGTCGAAGAATTTAAAAAAAAAAATCTTATGAAATGATAATCTTTTTCTGAAGGTAATGAAACCAAAAGTACAAAATTTGATGGAAAACTTATGGAATTAAGCTCTCACAAAGTTAGGTGTCTCAGTGATATTTATGCATCAGTGATTTTGCCCACCTTGCGTCCTATTTTTGGCCAATTCCATTATTCCAGTCAACCAAACTCATAGCTATTTTGCTAGTATTTCTTCTATTCTATCAAGTGGGTACAAGAAACCACTCATTTACCTATTTCATTTACCCAGTAAAGTGATCAGAAATTAGTAATTTGGCCAGTTTCACACAAAATTAAAAAATTGCCAATTTAAAAATAGGGTTCAGAATAAACAGTGTAGACATTCTTGGCACTAAAAAACATTTCCTTCATTCATTAGTCACATCTCCAGGCCCCTCTTATATTATGCTTGCTTTCCATTTTGAATTTTTATTCACACAAAAAATAGACGATTTACTGTGCAGACTACTGCACTATTGTAATAAATAATGTCAGTGCATTCCTAAATGTGTATTAGATTGGCCAGTTGGACACATATTGGACAAGTGACTTCATTTGTGTACTCTGGAATATCGGCACATATCAAACATTTCCACTACTCTGAGTTCAATTTCAAGCTACTTTCACTCCTGAAACCAATCAAAATTCTTCTTCTTCTTCTTTCAACGTACCAGCCACATCCCACCGAGGTGGGGTGGCCCAAAAGGAAAAACGAAAGTTTCTCCCTTCAAATTTAGTAATATATACAGGAGAAGGGGTTACCAGCCACTTGCTCCCGGCATTTCAGTCGCCTCCCACGACACGCATGGCTTACGGAGGAAGAATTCTGTTCCACTTCCCCATGGAGATAAGAGGAAATAAACAAGAACAAGAACTAGAAAGAAAATAGCAGAAAACCCAGAGGGGTGTGTATATTTATGCTTGTACATGTATGTGTAGTGTGACCTAAGTGTAAGTAGAAGTAGCAAGACATACCTGAAATCAAAATTATCTCTATTTATATAATAAATCTTCCATTCTATCAAATAAGAAAATACACCTCATAGTTGCTGTTTTAAACCAGACACACAGTTGCAGTTTTTTTCTCTAATTATGTACTGTATGCTGCAGGATTTTGTTTTATATGATGCACATTTACCACATAGACTCATTCTTTCATATCTTGGCCCAAATTTACTGCTCACAGTTTACTAGGGTGAGCTCAGTTCATGGCGTAGTACAACAGGACCAACCCTGGCTTCAAAGCCATAGTACAACGGGATGAACCCTGGCCTCAAAGCCGTAGTACATACAATGAGATGAACCCTGGCCTCAAAGCCGTAGTACATACAATGAGATGAACCCTGGCCTCAAAGCTGTAGTACAACAGGACCGACCCTGGCTTCAAAGTCGTAGTACAACGGGACTGACCCTGGCTTCAAAGTCGTAGTACAACGGGACCGATCCTGGCTTCAAAGCCGTAGTACAACGGGACTGACCCTGGCTTCAAAGCCGTAATACAATGGGACCAACACCGAAAGGGTTAAAAGGGACTATTAAGGTACAACAATATTCTAGCCTAGAGCGAACAAGTGACCTAAATAGGATCATCATTGGCTTAGCATCCCATTTTGAAGTTTCTCATTATCCATCCTATTATTTTCCTTGTGGTTGTAATAATGACACTGCTGTAATCCTTGAAGGTGAGATCCTCTTGACATTACCACCCCCTAAATCTTACATGTTAAGTTTTCTGCTTTATTTGTGTGATTATAATTTGTTTTATACTCCATTCAGGCTTTTATCTCTTAAGTTTTCCATAATGGAGTAATTGAAATTTGCCCTCATTGAACAAAATATTGTTTTCTGTGCTTCACTGGAAGACAGTTTATATTCACTTGGAGATTTACAGTATCCTGAATGAATGACTCAGGCAAATTCTAGTTTTGTCTGCAAAGGAAGATGCAATACTATGGTTTTGTTTTTATGTCAAATATGTGGATGAGGAAAAGGATGAGGTGAATACTGTACATTGTGGAACAGAGTTTTTTTACTGTGACAGTCTCTTACTTAACTCTGTTTACTATTACTCTTTGAATTCTATTGGTTAGAAAGTTAAAAATCTATCTGCCCACTTTTCCATTTATTCTTTTTGCACACATTTTGCAGGCCATTACAACATGATTGCACATGTTGAAGGCTACTGCAGAGTCTGTGCATACTACATCTGCATTTTGTTTGTCCTCGGGTGCATCCAAAACCATGTCACAGTGGTCCAGTAGTTGCGAGAGGCCAGAGCAAACAGCTGTAATCATGTGCTGCCCTGGGTTGTGCAGTTGTTAACCCTTTCAGGGTCCAAGGCCCAAATCTGGAGTCACGCACCAGTGTCCAAGAATTTAAAAAAAAAAAAATTTGTTATTTTTTCTTATGAAATCGTAGAGAATCTTTTTGTGAAGGTAATAAAACAAAAAGTACGAAATTTGGTGGAAAATTGACGAAATTATGCTCTCGCGAATTTTGATGTGTCAGCGATATTTACGAATCGGCGATTTTGCCGACTTTGACTCCCATTTTAGGCCAATTACATTATTCCTATCAACCAAATTCTTAGCTATTTCACTAGTATTACTTCTATTCTATCGATTGAGCACAAGAAATCGCCAAGTCAACTGTTTCAACTACAAAATAAAGTGATCGGAAAATTGTATTTGGCCAATTTAACACAAAGTTCAAATATTCCAATTTCAAAATAGGGTCCAGAATGAACAATGTAGGCATTCCTGGCACTAAACTAACATTTCCTCTGTTCATTAGTTATGTTTTGAGGCTTTACAAATAAATTCCATTTTGATTTTTATTCACATAATGAATTTTTATTCACACCAAAAAATAGAAGATTTACTGTTATGCAATACTGTAATAATTGTATAAATATCATCACCATATTTGTGAATGTATATAAGACCCACCAGCTGGTGTGTATTAGACGTGTGAGGTCGTTTGTTTA